ATAAGCAGTTAGACCTGTTTAAATTAACATGATAGCCTACTGCTTTGATAACACCAGAGACTTCTACGTGTGGTTGTTGTAACACTACCTTAAATCTGTATGATATTCTCCCATCACTGGCTGCATTTTGAAATAGTTCGTCCTGATAGATCACATGCCAAAATATTAATCATTACTATCATATCTGTTTCTAATTTACATTACGAATTTGGCAATTTAATTCTTTGTGTTGGGTGTTTTTCACATTTGTGTATTTTTAAACCCTATGAAAGATACAGTATATCGGTATTTCTTGAAAGTAATAATCACATGTATACAATCAATAAAAAAACCCAGCTAAAATGTTCTTACATTTGTATTTTTTTCAGCATATATCCCGAAATAATTATCAAATAAAGTTATTCAAAATTCATTGTTATAACAATGGATCGAATATTCTACAAAGAAGTCAATTTGTAATACTTTCTTTATACTTTATAAACGATACAGCAATTTAAGACATTTAGATTTTTCAATTGTTACAACAAACCATTATTACATAACATCAACTAGTCTATTTACATGTAATCATTGAAGTTACATTCCATGTCGCCTAAAAACCATTCTCATCTTAGCTTGGTACTTTCTTACTAAGGATATGTCAAAAAATATAGTCAAGAATGAGACATATTCTGTCATTTCTTAAACCAAATTTTGCAAGGTGTTTACCCTTCTAGATTTTCAACGGTGAACCAATAAGTATAAACATATATATATAAGCTAGTATTGGTTATATCTAATATCAAGTGAGTTTCCCTTTTATTTACCCAATATCTACTCTTTAACACATTGATAATTCTTGCTTTTAGTTGCTGTCATATATCGATAAACCCGAAGCTCAATTCTTGATAAACACATGTCTGCAGTTTGAAATAGACTAAGTTATATAGATACAATGGATAAGCGTGGATTCTTGAAAAAGAAACCATGAGCCCGGAGGGCGAATGGTTTGTTTTTCATGAATCTACGCTTATCCATTGTATCTATAACTTAAACTATTGTGTTAATTTCTTTTCAAAATTAAAGCCTTTTCTTAATTAGAAGGTATTGTAAGTGAGTTTAAATAACCATGTTATCGTGTCCAACGATGCATTGATAAATCTCAGATCACAATTAATTGGTTAACAAAATACAAATATAACACTTCTACCTTTAAAGATCTTTATATTACCAGGCATATGAATATTATCTGTTTATACAAAATAAGACATATTCGAAATTATTTCTAATAAAATTGAAAATGGAAATGGGGAACGTGTCAAAGAGACAACAACCCGACCAAAAAGCATATATAAAGTATATATAATAAGTATGTTATCGAAACTTTTCTAACACTCTAGGCACATCACGATTTTCTCGCATAGGAATTTGCGAACAAACCTTTGTAAAATTATGTAGTAAAACAGATGAAATCATACTATATTTATAAAACAAAAATTGACAAATAGAATGTAATCATTTTTGTTTCAAACATGTGAAATAGCCGATAATAATATATAAAAAAACGGCAAAACTCGCTATTATTACAAAAATATCCGCTATAACTTGCAAAATTAGAAAAAAAACAAGGATAGCTTAAGAATTGGAACAACAGAGAGAATACAGGGATTCGAACCTAAACCGACAAATCCCGATCTTTAACGCATTGATTTTGACCATGCTAACCTCGCGGCTACCAACTCATACTATACGACTGCCTATTGTGTCTATATAAAGGTACAAGCCCTGTTTGTCCTATGAACCGATGTATATCAGATGTTCATTTAAATATATAAAATAAACATCTATAGTGTAACCCATTGGTAGCCGAGAGGTTTCGTCGGTGTGTTGATGTCAGTCACACATAACAGATTTCAAGGAAGGGTTCGATTCCCAGTGAAGGCATAATAAAATTACAAAAATTAAAGGTAAGTTTTTAAATTAATTCCATTAGTGAACAGAAATCAGTAAATTAGCCAATTCAAACTTAATGAAATTAGGCACACAAAGGAAACAATTGAATATAATTTGGTGAGTCAATTTCAGCGGCAGATTTAGGAAGCGTTGATTCTAGCCACGGTAAATGAATAGGCTGACGTCACCACAATGGTTTAAGTACAACGAGAAGTGTACTAATACACGTAATATTTACAAAAATTAAGTACTTAACTATTATTTTTTCAAGAATATGAAATCATGTTAATTTATTTACAATATGGAAATTGGGGATTTATACAACACACAGTAAAAACCAATAATGTATAATGTTCTCCATATGCAAAGGGAGATAACTATAGCTAAATCTTGAAACATGGAATTAAGATAATTTCTTTAGAGATTGACCAAAAGTTTTGTATCGAAAAAGCCATTCATAAAATGAAGCAAAAAGTAAGGCTTCAACATAAATAGATATTAAGTCCTCACAGTTAGAATTGTACCAACAATGGGTTAATGTAAAACATACGTTAATATGGTATAAAAAAGTAAGGCTTCAACATACAAAGATATTATAGGCTCATAGTTAGAATTGTACCAACAAAGGGTACATGTAAACTATATAGGTGTAATACCACCAAATCATAGTATGTCACATCCGGTTGCATACGAAAATAGGTCGAAAAAAAATATTCCCTTGCATTTGACAATTGTAGATAATTGATCCTACATTTCATTGCAGTAAAACATTTCTGGGTCATAAACATATATCTTGAGTATTTCAAAGCACCATTATTTTTTTATTTGGGGTTTCTATAGAATATTTTGGAAACTTGAGGTTACATGGTTACTAAAGCTTGTACACAGGTTAAAAAAGGGGGAAAATTTGATTGGTTAACTTCCAGTGATGGTTATTTTCTTATATGCAATGAAATGTTATGTGAATTTTTTTCTATAGTACTGGACAGGATAAAACTTTACTCATGCCAAGTATTTCTTTATTTGAAACAAAGATAAATTCTGCACAATTTTTTGAAAAGTGCAAATTTAACAAAGACTAATAGGGGAAAATCAATGGTGGTATTACACCTAATATGGGAAACTGTACATGCACCTTTGACCTTGTGAGTACTCTCTTGTGTTAAAATTTCTTGCTATTTAAGTGAAATATTACAAATAATGAAATATTCTGAGTGGATTGAGTCTCCAAAACACAATTTATGAGAAAATTTCCTTGAAATAGGACTTTACCATGAATATTAGTTGACAGAACAAGCCATACTTAGAGTTTTGGGGAGCTTTTTCTCCTTATTTCTTATATTCTGCTATACTAGAAAATTTTTCCTAAGAAATACTTTAATGAATATATAGTTTTAAGTAAATGAAATTATTTTTAAAGCAGTAACAACAAATTATTCACCAAAAGAGAAGCTTTTTATGTCCCACTTTTGGAACGCGGCGTAAATTTAAGTTTTACGTAAGGATTTATTGAAACCTCCTTGGAGACAGTAAACTTTTATACGGATAGTTCATTCAGCTTGAATACTTCAATTAATCATTTATTATAACATTTCTATCATAAATGAGTGAAAGTTACCCCAAATTTTTTATTTATTGGCCTAAAAAGTAGAAATTTTGAGGATGAGAGGTATACATGGACCAAACGAGACCTTATAAGGAAGACAAAGAGGTCCATTAGTAGTATTTATCATCCTAAAGTCATCTTTTGTATCATATTCAACTGTTTGTAGGCAGATGAGATAAATATTTGATCATTTATTGGTCCACACTATATTCTATCATGATGCGGCTTGGTTTGGATTTTTCGAAGAAATTTTGCTCGAATCGCTGTAGATGTCGTCTTACATTATACTAGATTTTTCTCAAACTATTGAACTGATTATGACAAAACTTGACAGGAATGCTTGAAATAACCAGTATTACAAAGGAAAAAAGTCACATTCAGTTTATTTAACAAAAAAGTCTTCTTTAGGTGTAATACCACCAAATCATAGTACGTCACATCCGGTTGCATACGAAAATAGGTCGAAAAAAAATATTCCCTTGCATTTGACAGTTGTAGGTAATTGATCCTACATTTCATTGCAGTAAAACATTTCTGGGTCATAAACATATATCTTGGGTATTTCAAAGCACCATTATTTTTTTATTTGGGGTTTCTATAGAATATTTTGGAAACTTGAGGTTACATGGTTACTTAAGCTTGAACACAGGTTAAAAAAGGGGGAAAATTGATTGGTTAACTTCCAGTGATGGTTATTTTCTTATATGCAATGAAATGTTATGTGAAATGTTTTCTATAGTACTGGACAGGATAAAACTTTACTCATGCCAAGTATTTCTTTATTTGAAACAAAGATAAATTCTGCACAATTTTTTGAAAAGTGCAAATTTAACAAAGACTAATAGGGGAAAATCAATGGTGGTATTACACCTATATACGTTAATATGGTATAAAAAAGAAAGATGCTTTAGACCATACGTATACGTATATTATGGTATGCATGAGTTACTTAGACAATACGTCAGTATGGTGTCAAAATGGGGCAAAATTAGATTAAATGGACCGTGTGCAAAGAAATATATACTCCCCAAATAGAGTGAGCTGACAAAGTTCGTCATAAACTCCAATTATGATAAAGTAATTTAAATTTTATGACTTGTCACTTTTTCTAGACAAATTATTTAGCGCGAAAAAAAAACAAGAGCAAGAATAAGAAACGTGCTGTCATTGCCTTAACCAAAATTTCCTAGATGTTGACCTCATTAGAATTTCAACGGTAAACCAATAAGCTATAAAAACTACATATAAGCTAGTATTGGTTATATCTAATATCAAGTGAGTGTGTCTTTTATTTACCCAATATCTACATTTTAACGCATTGATAATTCTTGATTTAAGTTGCTGTCACATATCCATAAACCCGAAGCTCAGTTATTGATAAACACAAGTCTGCCGTTGGTAAAAGACTAAGTACAACGAGAAGTGTACAAATACACGCAATATTTACAAAAAAAATAAGTACTAAACTATTATTCATTTAAGAATATAAAAACATTTTAAAAATGTTTTATATGATTTATATACAGCTGCACAATAAAAAAACAAATCATACATTATGTTCTCTCTCCATATGCAAAGGAAGATAAGTCTAACTTAAACTTGAAAGTTGAAAATAATGAGAATCTACAAAAAAATACAATACACTCTTTGCTGTCAGTGCAAATTTAATTTAGATTACTCCAACCGTTAAGATAAGTAGCATGATCTGGAAATGTTTCAGGTTAATACATAATGATTGACGAAAGAAAAAAAATACAATTATATTGACTTTATAAGTGTTGTTTGTTTGATTGTAAAATAAAAATTTCCGACTTGAAATAAACATTATTTCAACTGCAAATTATTTCATAGACATTTTTAAAAAATCAGATACTCATATGGCTTAATCAATATTTATTTTCCTCTAATGTCAATTTTCAAAACGTCTGATTTCTGTAGGTCGTTCTTAGATTATCTGTATTTCTTTTTCACTTTCACTGCTCATTTTCAAGCTTTCAAGATTGTGATGGCTCTCTATTTTCCCTGGAATACATAACTAAATTTTTCAAGAACCATTTTTTTGTTTGCAGATATTGTTTCAAATGGATAAAAAATTAACAAAAAGCTGTCTAAAATCTTAATTAATCAAGTGGATGTTGTTGGTTTTTTTTTAATTTTTGCTCCGTCATGGTTCATTTCAGTATGTCAAACAATTTATTATTTTTTTATTTTTTCTGAAAGAATCGACGCTTAAAAAAAACAAAAATATTTATCAACGACTTTCAATAAGAGATAAATTACTTAATATCAGTATGTCTGGCATTTCAAAAACTTTAAGAAATATTTAAAGTATGTTTAAAGCTCTCATGCTATTGTTGTTATTACGACCGAAAAGAATTTTACATAAAAATTTGTCAATACTACCTGAATCAGCAACACTTTCATATTTGTGTCTGAAATGTAAAGCATAGAAAAATGTTTGAAAATCCCATTTTCAAATTACTGGTATCTGATCATACATATAAATGAATTGTAATAAAAAAAATTATACAATTTACGATTATTTTGGATAGTGGTGAAATTTTTATTTTTTTTAAAATTTAGTTAACTACATTTTGATAAGATATCTTAGAAACTAGATTCTGATAAGATATCTTAGTAAACTAGATTTTGATAATTAAGATATCTTAGAAAACTAGATTTTGATAAGATATCTTAATAAACTAGATTTTGTTAAAATATCTTAGTAAACTAAATTTAATTTAGTGCCATCCATAAAAGAAAATACCAATTTCTATATCGAAGGAGCAGCGAGAAAACACACCAACATGGTTTCAAAGAAAAATAAATTAAATCGAATATTATACTAGTATATGAATGCCTTTAAAAAGTAATATCATTTTCCGTCATAATTATATTGTGTGCACTGTGTAGAAAACGCTGCTGATGGACTGCTAGTCCTCGATGGTATTACCAGTACTCGTATGATTTTATATCTTTCTTAAATTCGACGATTTTTCATTGTTTTCCAAAAATTCAAACTGATAGTTCAATAACTAAAATGGTAATTCCAAAATTATTTTTCATTTTCTGGTCAATATTTTACATGTGAAATTATAAAAAAAAATTTAGAACTTGTAATTGAATACACATCAGTTACAAATTGGGTTCCTTCAATTTACCTTCTTTCAGGAAACTTGTTGCCATTTTTCCGTTTCTCAGTAGATCTTATAACAAACTCGCCTAAAACAAATCGTTATAAAGTGCTGATTATGAATGAGAATGAGAATGATGAGTATGAACGAAAATGAAAATGATGATTATGAAAGACTGACAAAATGGGCGTTGGTCCGGAGCGGCAATTTAAGTCGAAAATAAACTGACAACGCCATGGCTAAAAAAGAAAAAGAAAAACAAACAACAGTACACAAAATAACATAAAAAAAGTAAAATAACAGTAATACAGAACTCCAAGGAAAAAATTAAATTGGAAAGTCCCTTATAAAATGGTAAACTCAAAAGCTCAAGCACATCAAACAAATGGAAAACAAATGTCACTTTTCTGACATGGTACTGACATTTCCTTAAGTAGAAAATGGTGGATTAAACCTGGTAAAATAGCTAGCTAAACCTCTCACTTGTATGACAGTCGCATAAAATTCCATTATATTGACAACAATGTGTGAACAAAACAAACAGACATAATAGGTCAAAAGGTCAAAAATAGGGGTACAGCAGTCAACATTGTGTTATAATCTTAATCACTATAAAAACAAACAAATATGTCAACAAAGAAAAACAAAATGGCATATAGACATAGCACATAAGCAAAAATGAAAGACAAGAATACAAAAAATGACCACAGCACAACAACACATTGGATAAGTACCGAGCCACGCCAAAAGGATATTATCAAAAATGCACTAAACAGTAAAAGTTAATAATTTACAAAGACAAATAAAAGAACACTTTAACACGTTATAAAGATGATAAACAACGTCAGTACCTAGAATCTATATTTCAAGACCATCATGTATTATTTGTGAAGTTGATACGGAATATTTATCAACAAGATTTTGGTATCTTCCAATGATCTTTTTTTTTAAAAAGGACGAGACGTTCTTTGACATTACCCTGGTTTATCAACTTTCTGCTGAGACACTGGTGACGTTTTATAAAGAAAACCAAAGACTGAGCAACACGAACCCCACCAAAAACTGAGGGTGATCTCAGGTGCTCTGGAAGGGTAAGCAGATCCTGCTCCACATGTGGCACCCGTCGTGTTGCTCATGTAAGTACAAACCAGATGATATGTCTAATTCGGTAGGTCACATTCGGGGAAAGGGGACGCGATTATAGTTACGACAATTGGAACATATCCGTCGTCATCTGTGAAACAGATATTCCATAACGGTCAACCAACTCGTGATGGCGTCCGTAAAATTTACGAAGGGATGATTTCAACTTCACCACTTGGAAATCTTGGTTTAATAGCTTCCTTGTGAGCAACAACCCTCTATCAAAGAAATCATAATAGGAAACACAATCCCTGGAATATCGTATCAACTGGGAGATATATAATTCGTATGCAGGCGCTGCTGGAATGTTGCTACATAGAAATGGAAAGTTCACAATTTGGAAGCTGAAATCATCTCTTTTGTCGTTAAGTTTTGTTTTCAACCGACCCTCATTGTCAATTTCTAGATGTAAGTCAAGATATGAGGCAGACTTAACTGTAACTGTTGTATCCTTTACCTCAAGTTCGATGGGATAGATGCGTTCAACATAGTCACCAAATTTTGAATTATTTAGAGAGAGAACATCATCTATATAGGGGAAAGTGAAATTAAAGGATACGGCTAACTTCTTTTCTTTCTTCCAAGAAATTCCTGTATGAAGTCAGCCTCATTTAAATAAAGGAATAAGTCGGCAAAAAGAGGAACACAGTTGGTTCACATGGGAATTCCGATTGTTTGTTGAAAAATACGTCCTCCAAACGTAACAAATATGTTGTCAATCAAGAAATCAAGCATCTTGATAATGTCAGTTTGAGAGAATTTTTTGTTTGAGTCAAAACATGCGTATTGTCTTGTATTTACAGCTACATCATTTTAAGACAACAGTAAATTATTAATAGGCCCGAGAACACAGTTATTTCGTAGTGCATTTCTTTTAGACAATAAATTTGAATTAAAAAAATCGCACCTGCTCTATCTCAAAAAGATTTTTACAGTGTAGTGTACTACTATTGATGCAAATAATATCAAAATTATATAGAAACTTCTACCAGCTCTAACTCAAAATATTGACAAGTATGTGTTAAGGGGGGCTAAAATTCAGTTTGACACCTTCTAATTTCTGACCTTTTTTAACTGGACCAAATCACTACTAAACATAAAGATTCAGCACCCAAATTGTTTTAACATGTAACTTCATCCCCTTACTTAATATTTCATGCATAAAATATCAAGAAATAAATTAGAAAAAAGTATCAAAAAAAAATCCAAGTTATACACTGTTCACACTCGGGACTATATTCGTAGACAACGAAACCTAAGGACGATAACTGTGTCCTTGGACCAATAACAGGAGTAGTGAAAGCAAATCATGATCTGCATTTCATAGTAGTTAGTTCCACTGCAAAGTTATCACATATTTTGTTTTTCGAATGGACAAAGCATATTTTATAAGACAAAAAATACTCATTCATACAAAAAAAACCTCTGAAATTACATTAACAAGATACTTGATTTTATCTTCATCATATTTGTTGCGTTTGGAGGACATGTTTTTCCGTAGACAATATATATTTTCCTATGAGCACCAACTATGTTCTTCGTCTTGTCGACTTAATACATTATCTATATGATCCCATACATCCAGTTGAACTTGAAAAAGATACCAATGATATAATTAAGTCAGCCTCATATCTTGACTTCTATAAAATGACCGTGACGGTCTGTTAAAACTAAACCTTTTTATGTTATAGCTTTTGGATGCCCTCTTGGTATACTCTCTCCCATTTACCAGGAAAACGTTTTAAATCATTTAGCAATGATTTAATAGATGTTACTCGTTAATAGTTATTCGGCATCTGTAATTACACTCATCATAGATACCTTTATCACATAATTCGAACGTAGCATGCATATTTTCCGTCTGGTCGTAATGTTTTAAACTTATTAATTCCTAGCTCATGTCATTACACATAATCGTTCTAACTACTTAATGATAAGTCAAACTATATAGTTGTTAAAATATTTTTGAGTCATGGGTGAACATTTAATTTTAACTGCATCTCATGAGAGATTATGATGTGGAAAAGTTCTGAGGTTCTACACTAAGAAAACTAGGTTATTCATGGGAAAACATTTGTTTCGGACTGATTGGGGCCAGACAGATGGACAATCCGACAAAACGGCAACATTGTGCTCTCTCAAAATATTTCGCGGGGAGAAAAAAAGCAGGTCGAAAAAGTTGAATCGGCTAAGGTTTCGGGAAATCGTTCTACTGACTTTGTAATAACTATATGCAGCGATTGCAAAAGCCGCTCACCAGAGTAACTACTCAAAGAAAATCAACAATTCAATTTTTAAAGTGTTACATAAATTATAAAACTAAAATCTCTAAATTTAAGCAATACTATAAACACGTCAAAGAAATAAGAACAATTAAAGTCAAATGAGAACTAAGCTACAATGGATATCAAAAGGGGATTAAAATTCTACCCGAACACTCTAAAACTGGATACAGTAAGATAAAACTTCCTTCTATTGCCATGCATATTTTATGATAGGGGTTAATTAACGTTAAATTTAAATATTGATCGTTGCAGATATGTTATTTCTTTTTTAATTTAAACTGAAATCACATCAACCGTGCAAATTTTACTGCACACGATGCAATTTCTGACAATAAATGTCTCATCAGTGATGATCGATGCCAAAAAATCCTCTGGAACGAACTGTTTTTAAAATTCCTAATATATTCATTAAGTTTACACATATACTACGTAGAAAATTAGTTTTTGTTAGAGATATGTATTATGATCTCGAAGTGTGCTTCTTGTGTATTATGTTGATGAAACGCGTTTCTGACGTACTTCCAAATCTGCATGTTTTGGCAGAGTAATTTCCATTTATTAAATCATAAGCCTGACATCTTTGATGAGATTTTACAACCAGTGGGTCGTTGTCACTGCTAGTGAACCTTTCGTATTCGTTTATATAAAACAATCGTTCTAATATACCTCTCGAGGTAAGTAATAACGTATTGGTGAACAAGTAAGCAACATACTGGTTGTGTAATCTGATACGATGTAAACAAACCTACCGGCACTTCATCGGGACTCACCAGCACCGATCACCAGCATAGAACATTCTGTCGTATGACAACCTTACCAACCGTGATTCTATCTAAAGAAATACCTGGCCTTAACGAGATTGAACACAATTTTTTTTAAATGTTTTTTTCACTTTGTACGGTTCGAGCTCTTCTTATGAATAGTATGTTGACGAAACTTTCGTGGGATTTTTGTTTTGACGAACGCATGTCTGAAGTTTCACATATACATGATATAGACTTCATGTCTTTTATGATTTCTAATATAAAAGCCAAAGAATCAGTATAGTACATAAAATGCTAGTTGAACAGAAAAAATTCATAAAATCATTGAAATAAAGTCTCTCTCTCTCTCTCTCTCTCTCTCTCTCTCTCTCTCTCTCTCTCTCCAGGCAAAGTCTTCAGGACACACATGGAGGTGAACCATTTACTAAAATAGTTTTACTATAATGGTAACTAATTTTTACTTACCATTTGCATCTTCTACAACAAAAGTATATGCGGGTGTATCATCTGTTGGTCTACCTAGAAAACATTTTTTTTTTCTAGATAAATAAAACTTTTATCTGAACTGGTGCTCTATGTAAGTCTTAAACAAAACTTGAATATAAAAAGTGTGTTATGAAGTTGGGTGCTCTATATCTTTTTTTTAATTTAAGACAACTAGTTATCGTTGAAGATATAGTTTTACATATAGCACTCTAGATAACCATAATAATTACCTAAGCTTTCTTTGGCAAAACTTCTTGGAATTTCGGGTCTTCAATGCTCTTCAACTTCGTGCTTTATTTGATCATTTTTATTTTTTTTATTCTAGCGTCACTAATGAGTCTTTTGTGGACGAAATGCACGTCTGGCGTACAAAATTTAAATCCTGGTAACTTTGATGATATATATTTATTATCATCATGTATGTTGAAAAATGAAGTAAATCTGAATTTACTTTTTATTTTGTATATTTACTTTCCATGACCAACACGACGGATGCCACTAGTGGCGCAAAATTTGCTTACCCTTTCAGAGAACTTGATATCACTTTAAATTATGTTCGGTTTTGTGTTGCTCAGGTATTAATTTGTCTTCATTTTCTCTTTTTGACCGTGGTGTTGTCTGTATTTCTTCGACTATTTTATATTGTCCCTAGGTATCGACAACCTTCTTTCACTCAATTTAACCAGGAAATATTAAAATATTAATATTTATCTTTTCAACTTACTAGTACTTTTGTCCTTACTGCAGTAAACACAAGACGTATGCGTCAACACTATTTTAGACGTGGTAGCAAATACTGCAGCAAAACGCATCAGGATATTTTCATTCGTCAGAATATATTGCAAAAATAGTTTTGCTCTATCTCCGCGTGATATATTTTCTGCTTTTTGTATACACACGTTAGTCATCAAATCTGGAACGTCATTCTCCCCTTTTAGTGTGTTTTCCATGATTTTACTGTCAATTTCATCTTCTACGATCTGGAAAAATGTTAGCAGTGTCTTCCTATAACATTCTGTAAAAATATTGATAAATTCAAAAGTAACACGTACAACTCACTCACTGAAAAAGTAATACAGTACCAAAACATAAACTTGAAATATAATATGGCTATTATTGATCTTTAAGGTTGTTTGTAACACAATGATTCAAAATTATTTGTAATGTCTTCACATATATTTTAAATGTGTGCATTCCTGCAAATTGATTAGACTTTTAATTTCAGTTGAGATATATATTGGTATAAAAACAATGCAAGGCAACCCATTTTTACTGTAAAAAACGAACATTTCTGTATTCTATTAGGGGAAGTGCTTTGTTCATTTTGCCAATCAAATCAAATGAACGTACGGGGTAATGATAGAATAGTACTTAATACATACCTATGCATCTCCACTGTTCAATATGATCGACAAATGCTTGAAGTGTTTCTGATTCCCTTGCTTTCGCAAAAACTTGCTTCAGTTTGTCCTCTTCAGAACAACCCAGAAGATATATCAAGTATTCCTTTATAAGATTTTCATCTGACGTCTCAGATAGTTTTGCAACGGTGAATTGGTTTATCATTTCATGCTCTACCAACAATTTCATTATAACTTCGACTTTTAAGTCGCCAATCAAATTGGCTTTGCATATTTTGATAGCAAGGTTGAAGTCCAGGTTCTTTGCTGTAACATGATAAACATTTTAAGAGGAAGGTATCAAAAGCTAAGTTATACTACTTCTTTTTGGTAATTTCTACATATTAATGTCATTGGCTCAGATGACAATTTCTACGGCAGCTATTCAACATAAAAACTAAATGTTGTCTTCCCTTAATTCAACCCGAAGTCAATTATGTGAACCATTACACAACTTCTTTCCTACTTATCTATATTAAGCAGATCCAAAACAAAAAATCTCATAACATGCAGACTTTTATTGATTATTCTTTTACGGACACCTGTGTATAATGTTTTGGTGTTAGTGTTAGGATGTATGGTTTAAAATGCATAGTTAATGTTGTGATGGCGTATGGTCTATGGTACATGAGGCATAGTGTATGGTGCATGAGGAATATTGTATTGTTATTCAATTTTAGTTCGTTTCATAAAAGATGTATTGAGTTTTGAGCAGACGCACGTCTAGCGTACAAAATTTTAACTGTGCCTTTGATATGAAGACCCACAATTAAAGCACTTTCAGTTTGGTCTTTTGGTTTTGCCAAGTGCTTGTTGAGATATTATGTCATTTTTTATATGCCATATTTTTTTTTCAGTAAGGTAAGAAAATTTAGCATAATAGATGACTGCAATGAATAATGTTAATTTACCCTTTTCTGCAGGTACTATTGGCAAAGAACTGTCAAACATTTGGACTTTTATCTTGAATATCTGTCCAGGTTTAAGTGTCTTCTTTACATCTGGCATTGATGTCAGACTTTGCAAAAATGTCCTACATTTCTCTTCTTGGTCGTCTTTGTCCAGTATTTTGCATGCTTTTTTGGAACCTGATAGTAACATAAACTCAACACACCCAGGTCTGGTGCCAGTGATTCTATGGTCATCATTTTGCCATTGGTTATTTAAATCAGCTGCGGATTGCTCTCTTAAAGCGATTTGAGTCTGATTATCTGTATCTAACTTGAGAGTTCTTCCAAACAATGGAATATCGCTCTCTTTAATAGAAATGTGCACATTCGTAAATACAATATGATTGTACGTACCTTTGTTATTAGTTGTTTTTTAAATTAAAAAAAACGACTCTTTTTAGAATTGAACAAACGTATGCAACTTGATTTTACTTAAATTTCAGTGCCTAGCTATTTTTCATTAGAAATAATCTGTATTAGGTAAAGTTAATATTATGTGGATTTGAGTATTCTTTTAAGATCCATATGGTTATTAACTCTTCAAATATTTATACATACTTGCTTTTATTTGGAGGGGTTTGGAATGAGCGTTCATGTTTAAGGTAAATCCAGTCGCAAAAATCTATTTCTGCACGTATGGCGTGATTATGAAAAAATACCCAGAAAGTTCGTTTACATTAGCAATGGCAAAAATCGATTACCTATAAATCATGCAAGTATCAACGAACATTCTGAGTTTTGTTCCCATTGGACGTACATTTATGATATACATTTCTTAGAAAAAAATATATGTGTTACTAACGTTAGATAAACTCTAATCAAAATATTAGGTAAGTTAATTAAAGATGAAATAATATATCATTTGCCTTTTTTATTCTATATTTTTTAAACATTGCTGCTTACATAGAAGTTATTTAACCAAAGGGTTCCAAGTGGTAAAGTTTAAGTCATTTATTCTACAGTTTTAAGAAAGTTTTCTCATGTTGGTTGACTGTTGCGGAAAATTATTGTCATAGAAAATTACGAATATGTTTTATGTAGTGTTTTGTGGACTTGTCTTTTCGTTGTTTGTCATTAACGTAAATGGTTAAAAGATTATAAAGACAACAATCACTTACTTATAAAGATTATCAAATGCCAATGCAAACTATGAACAAAGTAAATCCTTAATATTTATGTTTCATATAATAAGCACTAGGGATATTTTATGGGGTTATAAACTTGAATAAATCATCTTTTCCCCTTCCGTATCTCCTCGACAGAACTTACAAAAATATGGTTATCGTAAAACAATGTCTGCGTTTGTCCAAATTATTTTGGTCACGTATTTACCTTGAATTCCGATTTGATGTTGATTCTTTATGTCTTGCATCCCTCTCAATATCCTTTGGTGTCCAAAATTGTTAAGGATGTAACAAAACTTGCTAGTCCAACTATCATCAGATCTCTGGAGTAGTATGGATAATAGTAATCGGACTTGATCAATCCGGGAGTTTGCTCTTCCCATTTCTTCATATTCCTCGAGATCAATTAAATACCTTTCATACAAATAGTCCAAAATTGTTGTTACTTCCAGTTCTCGTTCTACAAAACGCTGAATATCTGGTCTACTGAAATCTTGCGCTGTCAACTCTCTGTATTCAGGGACATCCGGAACATGTATGAATTCTATCAAAATATAATTTGATGGAATATTTTATAAAGTCAATTTCATGTCTGAAAATTCCCAAGATAAAAAGAAGTGAGTTGTAATCGATAGATTTTCAAAAGTTTCAACCCTTAAACGAGATATTTTTCTGTAGGACTAATTATCAAAAAGGGCGATGGTTTATAATTAACAAACAATCAATTATTCAACGACAATACTTCATATTTATCAGTTTGTTTTCCACTTATGAGTTTGAATATTCCTTTGGTATCTTTCGCCTCTCAATATATGTCAAGCTCTTAGTTAAACTTTTTCTGACCACTGTCGTCATGTAAAATTAATAGAATTAAAGATAACCGATTTAACAGAAGTTCAGACATAGGATAAGCAGCTCTTCAAAATTGTATAAGGTTTTTTTTATTGTGAGCTGGTGGTGTCCGTAGGTATCACCAGTCTATAGCTTCGTTCCTGGCATGAAAATGCGGATATTGTTTTATTGAAATTTGCTCTTATAAAATTTAGGAAATACATTTTAATGAATTCAGGAGTATATCTCCCTCATTCAAAACTGTGATTCCTTATCTGAATTGGTCTTTTTAATTATATAAGCTCTTTAACATTTATTAGGTTTTTGATTTTCGAATATATTTTTATGGAGCATCACTTAGGAGATATCTTTTGTCGACATCCCCGTTCGATGCATAAAAATTGGTATTGCTAATGATATTAGTTGACATTGACCATTCAATACGAAATAATAAAACCAGAAATGAAACGCGCCGACAAAGTTTCAATTACTAAGATCATTTAATGCTAGGTAATATCATTAGCCTAGGACTATTTATGAATTTGACAAATAATTATTGACATAAAAGGACAATAAATAAAGAAATGAAATACAATATGACTTCCTTATTTTATTGGGTTTCATTATATATCTCTTTCCCAAAATTATATTTGAAAAATCTAAGTCATTAAAGTAAACACTCCAACATTTCTTAGAGATATATGAACGTATGCATTCTACATCTAACACATAATATCAGTTATTACTTTAAATAGGTATACATCTGCTGGTTGGCTGTAAATCTCCAAGGGTATGAACAACCCTGTAGCTAGTACTGAACATACGAATATCTTATCATTGAATTTGCTGTTCTATATTTAAGCATATTTTTTTTTATATCAAATGATCTCCCTCGAGATAGTGCAGTTCGTTGTTCGGGTTTAGTATTACTTTTTGGTCCTTTTACAGGAACAAATAAATTAGATTGGGGATTTTCAAATATTTGGTCTCACGCTTCACTGTAAAGACACTGATTGTCGAAACTTGCATCTGATTTAGTAAAAATTGTTACCGTTTATGTTATTGGCTTACAATAAAGGCATAGTTTTTCACATACACTCCTAAGTTAAAAGCAAACAGATTTTTTCATTCATACATGCATAAAGCAATCATTCGACCAATCCATATATCACTAATTTCTATTTCAAATCTGAAAACAACGGACAAGAAATAATCTTACTAATATTTTGCTTTATTAAATCTGCAGGGTATGAGATATAAGCTATGCCTTTTTTATATTTACAGTCACTATGTAAACTTTGATATGTATGATGACTCGTTCGAAGCTGAGACATTTACACATGGGAAGGCTAAAATAGTAATGTTCGTATACTCTTTTCATTTACAATTTTTGGGGTAAGAAATGTGGTTATAAATATTCCGAAATTTTGAAAACCTTAAAAACGCCTTTTTCATGCACCGGCTTCTACAAGTAAAATTTCCCTATTTTCTCAAAAATAATTTATATGGACATATGGTTCTTTCAAACATTTAATAGCTCCATAACTTTTACATCTTTATTCTGTGGTCTTCTTTTCTTCACAAAAGAACGTGTTTAAGCTTTGTCAATAATCAAAATTAACACCATGGCAAATATCATTACAATTGAGAATGGAAATGGAGAATGTGTCAAAGAGACAACAACCCGACCATAGAGCAGACAACAGCCGAAGGCCACCGATGGGTCTTCAATGCAGCGAGAAACTCCCGCACCCGGAGGCGTCCTTCAGCAGGCCCCTAAACAAATATGTATACTAGTTCAGTGATAATGGACGCCATACTAAACTCCAAATTATACACAAGAAACTAAAATTAAAAATGATACAAGACTAACAAAGGCCAGAGGCTCCTGACTTTGAACAGGCGCAAAAATGCGGCGGGGTTAAACATGTTTTTTGAGATCTCAACTATCCCCCTATACCTCTAGCCAATGTAGAAAAAACAAACGTACATATATTATTTTATTAATCAGTATAGTTGTGGTCCTCGTTTTGAGGCGCATTAGGGATATTGACCCAGATGTATTTTAGCATACTGGATTTGAACTGGTTTTATATTGTAACGATAATGGAACCTTAAAAAATGAGGTTCACCTTTTCCGTTCGTTCGACTATATGTTTACCTGTCTGACCATGTCTAGCATCGACTAAAATATTTTTCAACGAATCCTTGTGTGATATCTAGAACAATGAAGACCAGCTACCTGTTTAAACGACGGCGACTATAGCAAATGATTTGCTCCTACGGCAAAAAAAGATAAGATGTTTGGGCTTATAGTTTAAGATGCACATTATATTCATTTTTAGGCATAATTTTTTGTTACCAGTTCTATATATCATGTTCAATATTGGATACTCGTACAGTTTCCGTTTGATCCTACAGCCATATATTTTCTTATTTGTGGACAGGTAGCAATACTCGAAAATATATAGCAATTCAATCACGTAATAAAGCCGAAAGTGGGAGGTTTTGCTCGCTATACAAATTTTTCTGCAGAATATTCCAGTACCAAGTCAGGAATATGACAGTTGTTTCCCATTCGTTCCGATGGTTGATATATTCGAGCATTTGATTTTGTCAGGTTTTATGGACTACCCACCTGTTTAACGTACCTTGGAGTTTGGTCTTTTTGTTAATACTTTTTTACAAAAGATTATGTTAAGTACATCTTACTTGAAATGATTTTATAATCAAACCTTGTAAATCTTTTTCTGTGATGTACCTTTGTTCAATTAGATATTTCATAAACGATTCACGTTCTGTTTCATTCCTGTGTAACGCATATCTTAAAACCATATTAATTTTTCTTCTTGGGTCATCAGTCATGCCAACACGTAGTATTTCTTCAATGGTTAGGAAATGGTTTAAGTATATTTCCATTTCACTAACCCGATTTTCTAATCTTCTCATCAAGGAGGTAAAGTTGACTCTAAGACTGTATGCCAAATTCGAATCTAGAAAACAAATAAATATTTCACATTATTACACGAAGTTCTTAAGTAGAGAGTTATCTGACATCACTAAAAAACATTAAAGAGAGACAACCATTTAGTCAAGAATAACATTCTTCTTTTTGTAATTTATTGGCTTGTAAAAGTTTATCGTGCGCACACTTTTTGTATAAAACATTATCAACAACACAATTTCCATTTATTTGCTCACTGTATGAATCAATACATGCATGAAAATGACAAACATTTTTGTTTTGTTCTATTATGTTAACCAAACAATTAAAAAGAGCATAACTTTAAATATAAGTCATCAATTCATAAACTAAACATTTAAATACAACATGAATCATTCTAATCATGCCAGTGCAGATGCGCTGTCGGATGGTCCCTTCGGGAAGTGATAGATCATCTCCAACGTCAGTGTGCAGTGGCAATAAAAAACCGTATGATAGTTATTTTCGTGTACATGACTTGCTTTTGACACTGAGACTAAAAACGTAATCGGTGTCAGAGCAAAACTTTAATGAACCATGATTTTGTCAAAGAACATCTCATCCTTTTTCTCCAACAGTTCATCGGAAAGTAACAAGACCTAATGGATATATATTCAGCCTCCACTTCACAAATAAAACAGGATGGTCCTGAGTGATAGATTAAAGGTGTATCATTTTATTTACTTTAAAATTTTCCCTTTGTTTGCCTTTATACGACTAGTATTATGTTCCTTTTGGTAGTACGACTCTTCACGTGGCTCGGTATCAGTGCATCCAGCTTTCGGGTTTTTAACTTTGGGTGTTGTTGATTTTGGTGGGTACACAGGTCTGATTCGGATGCATGAGGTTTTAATGGTGTTTGTTTGTTTATTTGTTTGGTTTTTTTTTCATGTCCTTTGTTTTTAGTTTGTACTTGATCGGACAAGTGTATATGCAATTATGTTTACTATACTGTACTATAAACTACAAAAACTGTTTTTTTTAGATAAATTTAAATGTTTGTTTATGAAATAATTAATGACAGCCGTAGATTTGTTTTCATATAACCGTGGGTTGGGTATTTATGTTTGATTATTTTATTTCGAGCGATAGCGATCTACGGTTGCCATGAATGATTTCGATTCTAATAGGACAAATATAGTAATTTAGTCAACCGTGAAAGTCCTATACATACGATACTGTTTTGGCTGTTCCGTTTTACCTGAACGTATAATAATATTAATATTATCATATAAATACATATAAATATACACCAATATAAATGACAAGTTCCTTTGAAACATCAGACAAAACTGCAAAAGTTAAATTAAACTACTGCTACGGAGACATGCCATATTTTATTTCGAACACCCTGTAATGTTTGGGTTGTTTTGTTGTTGTTTTTGGTTTTTTTTGTATGTTTTTGGTTTTTTTTTTTGTATGTTGGCTAAGTCCGATAGTGAAGGTAGATGACTTTCATAGGGTGTACAAATTTTCATTTCTCCGTATAACATCTTCGTGGAAAATCTGTGTCACAAATGACCACGTATCAACAATGCCATCTCCGATGTGACATCTCAGAATGTGACTTAGCATCCAGAATACTTGCCATGACCAACACGTTGTTATCTTTTCGTTGTTTTTCATTCAAGATAAGTTATTGTGTGTCGACATTTGTTGGTTATTATATTGTTCTTTAAAAAACCAGGCGGGTTTTTTTTTTTGCGCGCGCGCGAGGAAACATGCAATTTTCAGATGGAGACGTGATGTACGGAGGGAATATCTCCAAAGAGGGAAATGATGTTTTATTCGATATCACATGGGATATTCTCAGCTAGTTGAATGTTTATTCAGCTAACATATCAACAAACATTGAAATGATTAATGTTATTATATCATATTATTCAAATCGTAGATTTATCAATTCATGTCACGTGTATGTATTATAAAACACATATTGAATGGTTAGTTACGTTATTAATAAAAATGGATAAATTTTAGAATTATGATATAAAAAATTTCAAAAATAGCAATTGATTTAAGTAAATGTAGGAAGTGTGACTTTAACAAATTTAAACATTGCCGAGATGGATGAAATGCTTTTATGTTTTGAATTGACAAGTATAAGACCAGGGAATGTACAAAAAGGACACGGGGACGGTAAAACTAAAATACGTACATCATGAAACTAAGGGTTCATACAAGACTTAAATATTTTCTTATTATTATCCACATTTATTTGTATTGATAGAACTGCATCAGACTATCAACAAAATGACAGAATGTATGCAAAAAGCGTTAAAAAGTTCATTTGTTACCTGAAATTAAGATTTCTCGAAAATATATAGTGAAAACCTACCGGAGAACGCTGAAAAAATAATGTGACCCCTGGTCTTTCAATGTCCATAAAATTCGATGATCTTTTAGACTATGTATATATATATATACAGCATGTACAGATGGTATCAAAAGGATTTACTAGAATAATGTCATCTTCGATATCTACGGAGGGCGTAAATTGTCACTTTTCAGCTAAAAACCGTCGATAATTCAGGTCAAAGGGCAGAGGGCGATCTAGCCAACGCCCTGTGCCCTTTTACTTGCATTTCTGACGATTTTATTTGAAAAGTGACACTTTAAGCCCTCCACATATCGAAGATGACATTTTTCTGGGAAATCCTTTTGATAGCACCTATATATATAGGAAGTCTATAAGATTATCAAATGTTATGGATATCGAAAGACCAGCGTTCTGCGGTAGGTTTTCACTATATATTTTGAATATCAAATTAACACTTTGAGCCCTCCATAAACATAGAAGACGAAAAGTTTACCCAAATTCCTTTTGATTTCTTTCATATCTATATATTAACTAACTTTATGCATTATATTATGAAGATTGAGAGATCAGGAAGATCTAGCCAACGCCCTGTACCCTCTCTCCTGTGTATAGTTTGAATATTTAGTCAATCGAAAATATCTTCTTTTTTTTTTGGCTTTCCATAGTTATTTATATTTATATTTTCAAATATTACCAGAGTGGCCGTTTGTTTTTGTTTCTTGAAATAGCATCTGTTAAATGTTCATCTTTGATTATATTTTATTGATAAAAATCTATATTTCATCAAGAGAAATATCCGCTTTACATAACATGCATAAGGGTTTATATTTGAGGACAACGAGAACTTGCGATACCTTGAGTTGGTCACAAAAAGATTTCCTAAATCTCTTTTTTACTCCTTTTAACTATTACTATGATGCTTTTAATGTTTTCAATGTTTAAATCTTTATTATATTCAGCTAAGAAAATTTGAATATCGAACCGACTGCTAGCAGTCGGTTGGATATTGAATAACGAATAACGAACCGGTTTTGAATTATATTTATATGTTTCATAATAATTGAGAATTGGATTTCGCTTGACATCAACTCGAGTTATTCAATTGCAATATAATAATAAACGAGCCCATGACCACTCGACCAACTAGGCTATATTAAAATATAGCTTTCTTTAGTCGACTAATGTCTTTCCTTGTCGGCTTTATCTAGGGTTGAAACACAGTACATGATGTATAGTGGCAAGTAGGATTGTGTTTCTTTCAGATCAGTAATATTTTGTCTGTAGTAAAGGTTGATAATGTAATTATCATGCCGTCACATCAAATTATAATTTCACTATATACGTCTGAACATGTGACAAACTTACGACAGACGTTATCGTATAACCCGTGGTAATACAGGACTAACACCATAGTATATGATATGATTTGTCCCTAATTTAGCCAAACAATGTTAGATCTGCAAATTTGTGTCAGCTTTTTCTGTGACATCGTGACAACATATATTTATGCTTCTCTGTTAAATATTTGTTTGTTTTTGTTGTGATTAAGATTGTGACACGGTGTTGACTGCTGTACCCCTATTTTCGACATTTTGACCTATTATGTCTGTTTGTTTTATTCACGCATCGTTGTCAATTTAATGGAATTTGATGCGACTGTCATACAAGTGGGAGGTTTAGCGCTATAAAACCAGGTTCAATCCACCATTTTCTACATAAGAAAATGTCTGTACCAAGTCAGGAATATGACAGTTGTTGTCCATTCGTTTGATGTGTTTGTTGCTTTTGATTTTGCCATTTGATTAGGGACTTTCCGTTTTGAATTTTCCTCGGAGTTCAGTATTTTCGTGATTTAACTTTTTTATATGTGTGTGTATCTACACATTTATTTAAATAATTTAAAACACTTTAATATGTACCTCTCATTGCTCTTTCTCTTTCTTCAAGCACATCCTGATCTGCTGCAAGAAATCAAACTGTGCTAGGCTTATTATAGTTAAAATTTATGAAGATTTAAGTTATACATTCATATTTTAATTTTCTGTCCGAAGTTTTATAGATTTCTAGTACGAAATTTAGTAGAAAAATGTCATGTTATTTAATCAAATATATGTAAAATGTATTCTTAAAACATTAACTCCAATGGATACCATCAATGCAATTTCGTTATTTACGATCATGCATTAATCGTTTTGTTGTGCGAGATTGACAAATACATAAAAAAATTATTGCAGATATTATTGCATATTCATGTATTTTAATTTAGAATTCATAACTGATTTTAGAGTAGATTTTCAAATTTAACACTTTCAATTTGTTTTCGTTTACTTAAAGCATACATAAATGATTTAAGGAAGGAAACAAACAGACATTTTGCAAATCATCTGTCTCATTCTGAATATTGTCAGTGATTAAACACTTATTTTATTATATTAAACAGTACTTACGTTTTCCCCCTCCCTCTGCCATTTTCCAAACTTCCACAATTTCTGGCTTGTATAAAAAAGCAATTATATCAGCTGTTTTCATATTCTGAGAATATAAGTAAAGAACCAAATTGAATACATCCAATATGACAGTCAAGAAACCAAAACATATAGGTTCCTATTCTGTAAATATTGACAATGCAATTTCCCATAGGAACTCCCTTTGCGGCTTAAACTGTGTCACTTTTACTATGAAGTTTCGAAAAAAAAATATATCCTAGAACGGAAAGTTGATATGCAGTACTATTTTATTCAAAGGTCAAAATAAAGGGCTGTGCGGCATATTTTCAACATTTATATGCCCTGAACTTCTAAGAGTTTAAACTTATACTAAAATTCTGTACTACCCCTATCTTAACTGTTGGTCTTCCTCCGAATTAAATTTTCGGCGCTAAAATGTGTTTCTATACTGGTAACATTCCGAAGTTATGTCTCTATGAGATGAAACACAGAGATCATACCTGGGAACCAGTACGTAAACAAAACAAAATATCTATGAATATTATATATATCCCCAAAAGAGGCGTGGCTTGTGAAACAGATGTATTTACAAAGTGCAACCTATATGGACGTTCCTTCGTATTTGTAAAGCACTGGCCTTCAAACGTTTAGAGATAATCGATTACGTATGGGGACATTCACGATTATTTTTTGGATGATTTTTACCATTGCATATGAAATTTATATCATCTAAAGATTTTAGATTATATCAATCGATCGAACTAGTAATAAAAAAGTTAAAACAGTAGTAACAAATGTTTATGGTTTACGTTAAATCGTTCAACAGACATCATATATGTAAGACTCAGATCGACGTCCGGTCTCTAATCGACGTCCGTTCCTCAAATCGACGTCCGAATCTAGCGTCACAATAAAATATCCTCAAATCGACGGCCAATTTATGCCTTTTTAATCGACGTCCAATTTTTGGCTTCTCTAATCGACGTCCAATTTTTAGCTTCTCTAATCGACGTCCGTTTTGGACACAAAATACAAAATTGAACTGAACCGATATCAGCTGAAACCTTTAGACTTTGAAACAGATAATGTCTGACAAATAAAATCAATTTAAAATTTTTTTTTTATTTAGTACCTTCTAGTATGTAAACAGGTTGTGATATCAGTTTTTAAATTTTAGAGATTACATAAAAATAAGGAGATGTGATATGATTTCCAATGGAAAAACTATCCACCAGAGTTCAATTAAAGTGAATGTGAACAATTATAGGCAACCGTACGACTTTCAACAATGATAAAAACCCATACCGCAAAGGCTATAAAAGGCTACGACATGAATAATGTAAACAATTCAAATTAGAAAACTAACGGTCTTATTTATAACAAAACAATTCCGAAAAACAAATATGACAGACATAAACCAACGACAACCACTGGACTACAGGCACATAAAGAATTTGGTGGGGTTAAACATGTGTTTGAGTACTCAACCATCCACTAGCCTGGAACAGTGGTGTAACAGCACAACATAAAAACACAATGCCATTTTGTTTTCGTATATGTTTCACTCCAGGTGCAAAACTCAGAAATTTGTTGAAAAATATCTTACAAAGTCCGAATTATAATACTCTCAAAACAATTAGCTGTTGTTCTTTATTTTGTCTATTGCTGAAGACTGAATAATGCCCTCTAGATGTCGTTTGGTTTTCTTTGTTGTTGGGTTGTTTTCTCATTGACTTACACTTACATGTATGTCATTTATTAATATGAATAGGAATGACACACTACAATGTAGATTGATTGGATAAACTTTTCATCAAGATAAAAATTAATATGCATGTTACCTATTTCGGGTTGAAAAAATCTATATGGAAAGTATGTATAAGTGTTTGAAAATTTAATTGTCATAAAAACCCTACAAAACATGTACATGTATAAGTGTAAGTCCAGTAATCTATTATTTATTGATATTGAACATCGATTAGGGAAGACTGCAATCAATCGGACGTCGTTTTTGGCAATACATGACGTCACATTGGACGTCGATTAGAGTATCAAAATATTGGACGTCGATATGAGAATGTGACGTCAGATTTGGACCTCGATTTGAGGAACGGACGTCGATTAGAGGCCGGACGTCGATCTGAGTCTAACATATATGTAGAGAATACGCGCTTCTGGTGTAATATAATTACAACTTCGATATTTTTTATGAACATTTTTATAGTTCTTTGTGCGTACGTCGACGTAAGCGGAGTAAACAGTATTTCGGAATGTTCAACATCCGTTTTTCAACTGTACTATTTATAAACACTAATTCATTCTGATTTGATACATACTAGATGAACTGTCTATAGTTGCGATCAGTTCTAACCTGTCTTTAAATCTGTTAGGAACTGTAAGGAGGACTGTTAATTGCCAGTCTCTAGATGAGTTCTCTCTATACCTTAAGAATAATTCGTAACATTTATGGAAGTTCTTCCTTAGAACAAAAACTTATAGTCACTAGAACAAGTTATGACAGTTTTAACAATTTTGGACAGCTTCCTCTATTCATATTGTTATTCATATCTTATTCATTCAGTCATTTATTTATTTTCCTTCTTTTTAGCTCACCGGGCACAAAGGGCCCCATGTGAGCTTATGCCACCACTTTGCGTCCGTCGTCGTCCGTCGTCTGTCGTCATCGTCTGTCGTCTGTCGTCGTAAACTATTTCAAAAATCTTCTCCTCTGAAACTACTTGGCCAAATACCTTAAAACTTTAAATGAATGTTCCTTAGGGTATCTAGTTTATAAATTGTTTCCGAAATTTTGATCCATCAACAAACATGACCGCCGTGACTAAAAATAGAACATAGGGGTCAAATACAGTTTTTGGCTTATATCTCAAAAAGTAAAGCATTTAGAGCAAATCTGACATGGGGTAAAAATGTTAAACAGGTCAAGATCTACCAGCCCTGAAATTTTCAAACAAATCAAACAGACCATTGTTGGGTTGCTGCCATTAAATTGGTAATTTTCTGTCTTACTATTTCAAAAATCTTCTCCTCTGAAACTACTGGGCCAAATTCCTTCAAAATGAATGTTCCTTTGGGTATCTAGTTTATAAATTGTATCCGAAATTTTGATCCGTCAACAAACATGGCCGCCATGACTAAAAATAGAACATAGGCGTCAAATGCAGTTTTTGGCTTATATATCAAAAAGTAAAGCATTTAGAGCAAATCTGACATGGGGGAAAAATGTTAAACAGGTCAGGACCTACCAGCCCTGAAATTTTCAAACAAATCAAACAAACCATTGTTAGGTTGCTGCCACTAATTTGGTAATTTTCGTCGTCTCTCGTAAACTATTTCAAAAATCTTCTTCTCTGAAACTACTGGGCCAAATACATTCAAACTTTAAATAAATGTTCCTTAGGGTATCGAGGTCAAAATTGTATCCGAAGTTATGATCCATCAACAAACATGGCCGCCATGGCTAAAAATAAAACATAGGTGTCAAATGCAGTTTTTGGCTTACATCTCAAATACTAAAGCAGTTAGAGCAAACGTGAAAGAGAGTTAGAGTGATGATTAGGTAAATATTTATCTATTATGAAATTTTCATGCCAATTGGAGAATTTGAAGAATTTATTGTTGGGTTACTGTTAGAAGTAGTTATTTATTAGGAAATTTTAGATTTTGATTATTTTCTTGAAAATTATAGTAGATAAGAAGAAAGTGTAAATGACAAAAATAATATTGATCTATCTGCATGAACATGTTCAGAACAAATTGCCAATCGGTTGTTGGGTTACTGTAGGAAATTTTGTTTTTGGGAGAAATTATAGTTTTGGTTATTTCCCTTGAAAGATTTATTTTTCACAATTTTCTTCTTGAATCATTACTTTTTCTCTGAAACTACAAGACTTAATTCAACTCCTTTTCACCAGGTTTACTTTTAGATAATAGATCAACTTAGAATTTTGTTCCAATACAATGATTTTTAACCAATAGGGGATTATGTATTGCCATGCAATACTCACAGAATTCTTGTTATATTTCATCTCTTAAGCACTAAGAACATACCGGTAACTTAGATATTTATTTTGAGGCATATATGACCCCCCGATCACGCCCCCCCCCCCCCCTTCCCCCCAAAAAGTGCATTTTTAAGCAAACACCGATATACATTATTACTCAAAAATATAAATCATGATTGATGAATGAATTAAGCTTTAACAAATCAGGTGAGCGATTCAGGCTCTTGAGAGCCTCTTGTTTGTAATTTTATCTATTTTTTTTCAACAAAATATTCTGTTATATCGTCTCCCAGTTCATACAATATTCCAGGGCTTGTGTTTCCTATCATGATTATTTCCTTGATAGAGGGTTGCTGCTCACAAGGAAGCTATTAAACCAAGAGCTTCGAGTGGTGAAGTTGAAATCATCTCTTCATAAAATTTTACTGACGCCATTACGAGTTGGTTGACCGTTATGGAATGTCTGTTTCACAGATGACGACGGATATGTTCCAATTGAAATAGGATCCAAGTAACAGGATACCAGTCCAGTACCCACGAATGAAGTCCTTTGATAAATCTACCATCTTTTAAATGGGATATTAATTTTGTACCTAGATGAAAATTATGTAAAGATGCTTAACATTGTAGTATATCTAAATGGTATTCATTAAACTTTCAACTTCTGTTAAGTTTTAAGTTATTCTGAAATGTATAGGGTGGATGGTTGTCTCAGTAAATGGTGCAAATTTTATTTTCGATTTAAACCAGGAAGTTAATAAAATGACCCTATAAATACTCAAAACAGTATTGCTCTCTTAAATGCGGGTCATGATCCTCTAAGAATTCCCCAAGAAACCATGTCGCCACAACAAGTATGAGAAAGGAACTGAAATTTTGCAGTCGAATATAGGGAATAAACAATCTGCCCCTCAATTTGGATAAAATTGCATTGAATTAATAGGGTAAATAATTGGGTCCCTGTTCCTGTCAAGGGTAAGGTACACCTGAAGGTATTATGCAACAAAAATCTTCAAATTGTGGTTTATTTGATAGACATTGACATTCGGCTGTTGTCTGCTCT